ACTAAGGGTCTTTGAATTTTGTAAAAAGACCCACCAGATGTCGCTCACTTTCACTAAATAGTTTCGGAGTTTTTCGGAGTTGGAACCGAACTCCGAGAGAAATTTTTCTCGGAGTCGGAGGTGAGCATCCTTTTTTTTAAGGAATCCGTGCCGGTGCCGGAGTTAGAAAAAGAAAAATTTCGGGACCGGAGTCGGTTTTCGGAGGCAAAAAAGTCACCACCACTGGGCTCTAGTGCCCAGCCAAACTTACTTTGCTAACCATCAAAATTGAATAAATTGCTTTTACTGGCAGTTTTGACTTCTTCCCAAACTTTACAGAGCTGTTAATTCTTCACATATAATGCTGCTCGCTAAGTACCATTCGTTAAGACCATCGACGTCATACATGGATATCATCAAAACGCCTGATTTGATACTATTTTTAGATGAAAATATTTTAGATTTTGAAAAATCTAGTAGCAGAGCAATACTGAGATAAAAAAGTTAAAGAAACATGAAGGACACATTCCACATGGCGAAGATAAAGCAAAGAGTGTATACGTTGGTTCAGTCATGCAGAACCGTAAGCTGAAACTGGAGAAAAAAACTGAAGCTTCATGTTTACACGCAAATTATAATTAAACCCATGCACATTCGTATTCTCACACTCAATTTTTTTCTTCGTCCGCCAGGAATTTCTGATCATCTAACGAGCGACGACTGGAAACGTCATCGCATCCGTTTATTTGCTCGACGTGAATTTAATAATTACGATATTATCACATTTCAAGAAACATTTGCTTTTGGTTCATCTCGTCGAAAAAAGCTAATAAATTTAGCGCGCAATGCTGGATTTCATCACTCATTTGTTGCCAGAAAAATGCCATGGTACGCCGGCAGAATTGATGCAGGTCTTGTAATACTTAGTCGATTTCCAATAGTAGCAACTGAAGAATGGACTTTCGAAGAAAGAGGTACCCAAGTGGGTGACTTTTTAGCTGCAAAAGGTATAATTTATGCAAAAATTCAATTGAATGCCACTCACCTTCATCTATTTACAACCCACTTGCAATCATCAGACAGTGAAAAAGCGATAGTGAAACGTCATAAACAATTTTCTGAAGCAAAACAATTTATTGATAATACTTTGTTGAAACATGGAAGAACCGACATTGAACCAGTTTTGTTTTCTGGTGATATGAATGTTGATGCGCGGAAAAATGCTGATGACGGAGTAAACAATGGATGGGAATACGACCTTATGATAAATATTTATTCAGGACGACAAATATCAGTTCCAAATACTACAGAGTTCCAAGCAAAATACGATATTTGTGATGTATGTTATGAGGCCCTTGGAGAACATCCAATAACAACCAGCAAATTAAGAGCATCGGAACCTGCAGATCGCAAATGTATTGATTTTATTTTCTCTTTGCGACCAGCAGCGTCTGATGGACAAAAGAATATTCATTTTGAAAATGTGCGAGTGGAAAAGTTTCTAGTAGAAGAACATCGTTTCGACTTCTTATCAGATCACTTCGGTATTGCTGCTGATGTAATTGTTGATGATGTTAGCTTACTGTCAGATCCTGTAGACGTCTCTGACGACAGCACTATGGACAGATTGTAGCGAAACAATGTAAGTCAGGAAAAGGTATAAACGGAAAATAAATTAAAAGATATGCTGGAGAAAAATATTATTTATTCAGTTATTATACTTCAATCCAACAGTTTTCAAAGCAGTTAGTGAAGGTTTCTTTTTCACCTACTAAAATAGCGCATAAGTATGATTTTTTTAATTGATATTAATTCGTAAACTCTTCTATGTTTTTCCAATATTCTATGAATTAATCATGAGTTGTCACAGTTCCATATTGACATTACACTATAAATATAGATAACGGAAACGCAATAACAGAATCAAATTTCGATTTTTCGTTGTGATAATTTTTGTATGAGCCTTGTTAGTCAAGAACACAAAAAATCTCAATCAAACCGACAAACCAGAGCATAAATAAAAAAACACGACTCTGTTACGCCATTACTTTTAGCTCGTCGTATGTATAACGAGAGTGTACGCACCCCTCGAATAACTGAAAATGTTGTTGTTATTTTATCCGTTATTCCTCGCACAAAAAAAATTTTTATCAATTGCACACTGCCTCAGAGAGAGAAATTTTGTTTTACGGGGGGCCGCCCCCCCCCGGGGGGGGGGGGGGGGGGGGGGGGGGGGGGGGGGGGGGGGGGGGGGGGGGGGGGGGGGGGGGGGGGGGGGG